CCATTTAAAAAGGAAAATCGAGATCGAGCTCTACCTTTATTTATACATATATACATCTGCACGCCGGAATAAATGATATGTAATTTTCAATACGCTCGTGCTGTAAGTTTACGAGAGAGTTACGCTCGGTTCGCGATACGATCCTCGCATGCGTACATATATATATAGTCGATCGATTCGCCGGGCAATGCGTTTAACGATTGCCGCTCGCGAGTACTACCACTACTACTACATAACGAGCCACCCGAGTGAAAAAGAAAAGACACGGACAAAACGAACGAGTAGCCCCCGCAACGCGTAACCGATAATTTTCGCTTCATGACTTCATTTTTCGCCCGTTCGCATGTACTTGTATTAATTGTATCGCAAGCTCGATTCGTAATCGTGTAAGCGCTAGGTAACATCGAATGATATCGACTTTACCCTCTCGGTTCATACGCCAACGCGAATTAGACGAATGATTAACTTTTTTTCAACTCGCAAAAGTCACACACGCACACGCATAGTGTTTTTTTTTGTCTCATTTTTCGGTCGTCTTCTAGACGTACATCATACAGCCTTGAAACGCTATACGCGCGCACTTCGTATACACCCACACGCATATACGTGCTCGCAAGTAGTCATTATGTAGTTTTTCGAGAGAAAGATTTTTGAGGTGAAACAGAGACGACCGAGAAAGAAAGATAGAGAGAGAGAGAGATGAGATATATACTTTTTTTTTCGTCGTCCTCGTCGTCTTCTTCTGTTTCGAGACCCAACTCTTTCTTTCTCTCTCTTTCTCGGGCTCTGTTTAACCGCATCACGCTCGCGCGGGCCTCTCTCTCTCTCTGTTTTTAGCGCAGATAGACGTGGTTCTTTGAAATTTCGTGTGCACGCCGCACCGCGCGCGGGTGCTCGGAAGTGCGTAATATACGTCGACGAATCCCCGTTATACTTATGAAGAAAAAAAAAATAATAACAACGACGACTGCCATATACACACGATGAAGGGAGAGAGAGAGAGAGACAGAAAAGGGTCGTTATTGTTATATTATTACGAGACGAAAATTGCTTATAACTTCTTTGAAACGTTAGCGAGAAGGAGCAAAGAGCGAGAGAGATAATGCACACCGCGCGGCGGCGGCGGCGACGACGAAGCTCTGCCTCATTTTCTTTTCTTTGTAACTCATTGCGCGGCGAAACGTCGGGGTCAATTTCGGGTAAAAATGACCGAGCGCAAATTGTCCCCCCTACTTTTTTTTTTACTCCCTCTTCGTTACTTCTTTATATATTATATGTATTGCATTAAAAACGTGAAAAACGTATTTCGCGAGGAGTAGAAGTTAATACCAAACAAGAGATTTGAGAAACGTCAGACGTATCGTCCGAGATCAAAACAAACTCAAATCACTATTATACACGCGCTTAAGTCATACGTCGCATCAAACAATAAACTACGATCTTCGTTACCTGTCATCCTGCTCCGACAAGCGATCCTTATCTCGTCTTCTATCGAGGCTCCGATCGGTAAAGATTTTCTTCTATCGACCTCCTCTGTACAAAAGTCGTCGTCGACTCGTGTCGCGCGCACCACAACTCAAAACAACAACAACAACAAAAACTCAACACACACACGTGACTCGTATACACGCGCACTCGTCATCCGAATCGAGCTTTTTTTCACCTATATATATAATACGTGTACGATCAGTTACCGAGATCGAGGCACAATTTTTGGCGCGAACTCTCGCTCCAAGTCCCGCGGCGCGCGAAGGACGAACTACAAGACAGAGAGAGAGAGAGAGAGACACACACACTGCGGATACGCGAGCGAGTATACCCGCGAGATATTTGCCGATCGGCGCGGCTTTTTATATATCACTGTATATAATGTATCGAGTCGTCCCCGTCGTCGTCGTTGCTCGGTAATAAGACTGCGGAGAACTGAATCGGCAGTCTCTACTCTCGGTAGTGGTATATAATAGTAGCCACTGCTGCTGCTGTTGCCGCCACCGCCGCGTGCGGTGCTATGCTGCGCCGCCGCCGCTGCCACCGCCGCTCGGTGCATCTCGGGGGCCCACTGCCGCAGGGTCCCCTACTACTATACAACAACAACAACAACTACTACTACTACTACTACTCTCTTTCACCGAGCTCTGCATGTGTGTATATATACACTGCAGCCGGTGTCTCGGGAGATGCAGTTTTCTGCCGTGGGGACTGCCGCGCCGTACGGACCTCTCTCTCTGTCCCTCTTTTCTCTTCTTCTTCTTATTTTTTTCTCTCTTTCTTTCTCTCTTATTTTATATAAGCGCGTATACGCGAGCGAGTCGCCGGTGTATACGATTTACAAACACACACACACACACACTCACACACTCGCACAGATACAGCTGTTCAGGTGTGGTGGTAGGGTAAACGACCGTCGCGCGTATCGCACACAAACACGCGCAGAGTTCGGAAGTGACACCTACCGTCCGTGTGCGCGCGCGGGGAGCTCCGTATTATACACAAAAGGCTGTTTGTTATTGTGCGCACACACACATATATATAAATGTTTGTACATACTCGTGTGTGCATTTCTCTTTCACTCTCTCGATATCCTCGCGGGACGTGAGCGTATATATAAAAGGACGAGGAACGAGGAAGGAGATATCGCAAAGCTCCCCGCCGCAACTATACGCGACGTACTTTTCGGCGGTTTCTGCGCGCGGCCCGCGTGACACGTGCGTGTGTGTGTGTGTGTGTGCCGCGAAGCCGTGGAAATTTATGGATTCGACTAAACTAATCGCGTCGTTCGCATCCTTTTAATTCTACCCGTTGCTGCTGCTGCTGCTGCTGCACAGCCAAAGGACTCGAAACTCGCGATTCGAGCTCGCGTGCACTGAGACGCGCCGCTCCCGATGATTATTATCGGTTGACGTTTAATATCTGTAATCCGGCGTTTACTTGAGCCATTGTGTAAAATAGTACAGGCAAACCCCGTTATCCGCGGATTCGTTATCCGCGATTCTTCGTATCCGCGGTACCCCTATTTGTGACCCAACTTCAGTATCCGCGGTTTTTTGTTTTCGTATCCGCGGTTTTTTTCTGGAGGTTAACATTTTGTGCGCGTCAAATTTAAAAATTTTTTTATTATTTTTTATTTAATTATGTCTCGACCAACACGAAAAAAAAAAGTTTCAATCGAAAAAAAGCGCGATAGAAAAGTTCTTAATTTGGTCGAACAGATCAAAATTCTCGACGCGTTGGCAGCTGGTGAAAAAGTTGCTACAATCGCAAGAAGATTCAACGTCAACGAGTCTTCGATCAGAACAATCCACGACAACGAGAAAAAAACTCGAGAGAGTGCAAAATCTTTGGGGAAACATGCAGAACAATGCAAGATAAGTCATAAGTAAAATTTTAGCTGATGCAGAACAACTCATTGAACGAGCCATAAATCATGATCCAATAATGACTCGCAGCCTTCAATTCAAGCAAGATATAACAAAATCATTGCAGTGTTATGAAAGTTTATACAAAGATTTGATGCACAGAGCGAAGCAAAAAAGTTTGACTAAGTATTTTACTCGAAAATTAATAAATACTTTGATTTTTCATAAAAAAAAGGTGTTTTACTCTTTCGTACATTGACATTTCAGCTGGACGAGGAACCGAACCCTCCTTTTCCCATAAGAACAATGCTTCGGTATCCGCGGTTTCGGTATACGCGGTACTTTTTCGGAACCGAACCCCCGCGGATAACGGGGTTTGACTGTATATGCGAGGTGTGAGGCAGGAAATTATTTTTTCTTTGCACTCCGAAGCGGTGAAAAGTGACGGTGTTATACATATTATTTACATTATGTCGCGGGTACGAGTATACACGTGTGATTAGATTTTTTTTCGGAGCGATACGAGAGGCCCACGCGTACAACAAAAGACTGAAAAGGCAAAAACCACCACTGCTCGCGTGAAAGATGCGTATGGTAATAATAGGAGCGAGAGAAAAAAAAATGTACACAAGACGCGGTGGAATCGCTCGGAAGGGGTGCGTCTCTTTGGCCGATCCCTATTTTTTTCACACCTCCTGTAATGATACCCTCGCGTCGAATGGAGTCGATTCTTTTTTTTCGTCCTTTTTTTTTCGGCCTTCCTCTCGCGAGCTTCGTGGCGAACTCGTATTTACGCGCACTTCGCACTGGCAACATTATGAATTAGAAGGTGCTGGCCATGTGTACGTACTTGACGCCGTGTATGTCATTAAAGGCCAACTCTCGCGTGGGCATGTACGTGACTTATTTATGCTCTTCGCACAAAGCCTCGTGTTGTGGTTTTAAGATGTAACACATTCGTGGTACTCACACGTGCGTATATTACGTGTGTATGTAGATGCGAGTGTTTTTTTGAATGGTGGTCACGTGCACGTTAGAGTTTTGTGTGAACGAGAATGTACACTTGATTACAAATATAGATGATCGAAGGGGTTGATATAAATTTCGAGTAAGCAATACAATAATCGCTAAAAAATCGTTGGGCACCTGTCAATATCGAGTAAAAAAAAAACTTATATTCGCGCGATTAACTGAAAAAAAAGGTTTAGTCATCGCAGGAATATTATCGCTTGACTCGATAATTTCGATTTGGAGAGTTCATTCCCGTAGCGAGCTTGAACGAGACGCAATTAGCAAGTATCTCATCGCTTCTTATTTTTTTATAGAATTTTAATTACTATCACGATACTAAACTTTATCTCTTACCCTCGCTGCTGCGATTCCTCAAGAGGCTGCTTTTGCGGACGAACCAAGTTTTAGGTGCAGTTCCTGTGCTGAAACAAATTATCACCCTGATTTTGAGATAATATGTCAATCGCATCGATTCAAATTCAATACCAAACGCAGTGGCCAGTATCAAGTTAAACATCATAAATATGGCTATTTTAATTTTGTTAAAATTCAACATATTTTACACAGCGAAAGAAATACGGATTAGTTTTATTTATTTTTTAATAAAGGCGTTATTTTTTACCTAGGATGTTGGGTGTACTATTTTTCTGGAGTAACAGAAAATAACATTTTCATTTTAGTCAGTGATGTTACTATTGGTTGGGGTATCAAGGAAATGTGATTTTCGGATAACTAAATTGGAAAAATTAAATATAGACCGAAGCAGGGGGAGAATTAAGTTTGAGGGCACGAGTTTATCGAAAACTTATTACAAATTTAATGGGAATTTCCTTTCCTCTCTATCTATACGTTAAAATCTTTACTGATAAATATCCAGCCGCCTTCTTTTTGTAGCCTTTATGGAATAATCCGACCCCTGACAATGCAACGTCAGGGTGTTCCGATACGACAGGTTGTAAGTCTACAAATGGCACGACAGTTTGTCCGACATCTTGCTCCATACTGCTCGTCGTCAATGTAATGTACTGACTTGATTCAGAATACGAAACGTCTTCGTTTATCGGATGGGTAGGAGGTAAATCGGTGTGTTCCAGTTTAAATTGTCTGTAAATAAAATATTTTGATTCAATGAAAAATCTATCAATGATCGGAGTATCTCATTTACTTCAGCTGGTCTTTAGATTTTGTGTGCTGGTGCCACAAATGTTGTTTAACTTTGAGTTTTCCATTCTGAAAATTAAATCGAGTGCCTCGAACATCTAATCTTATAAGACCTTCATTTGCAGTAAGACCTTTATCTACAGTGAATCTTACACCAGTCACGACGTAATTTTTATCGATTTCAATGTCACCCAGCTCGAATGATCTAAGATCCCAGCTAAATTTATGATAATCGTTGCCTTCCGAAACGCCTTTATCAGATGTCTTATACTCGTTAACTTTTACCCAAGACTTAGTGTTTGGATCAATTGTAGCCGATGGTAAAAGTTCGGCTTGTTGCACTTGAAGATGAAAAACATCATTGACTTTTCTAATACGAATTCCTGTGACGACCCTAGTTACCGATGATAGTTTTGTTAAACTCATTTCAATCATTGACAATAATAATTTAAATTTCTTACTTATTTTCGTGCACATCAGATACAACCTCTTTCAAGTTGATGTAAACGTTTGAATTAGGGTTTTCACACGTGCAAACGCATGAAGATTCGTACCGGGATTGATCGCCGACATACATGAAGGGTGTCGCAGGAGTTATAGAAGATACGTGTGTGTATAATTTTCCACTGCATGATTTCTCTTTTTTACCGTAATTTTTATCGCCAATTTTTGCATATTCGTACTTGCGTGCTTTATCATTCTGAATTAAAATATCTTACATCAAAATATAATTAACGATAAATTTTTTTTAATTCATTACCGATGTTTGACAAACATCTGCATCGGAATCCAACATCTCGCAAGACTTTATTTTTCCACGGCAAAATGCGTATTCGTTGCACTCTGGCTTATATGTTGGCTGCCCGCGACAAAGACTTTCAACATCTTTAAATTCGACACACCAATAAGGAGGATAGCTCGGTGTTAAAGTTCGCGCAGATTCAAAAGTTTTATAGATAAATGGTCCAAACTGCTCATAGGTGAAACCTGAGAATATATTTATATTCAATTTTCGTTTTGGAGAAAATTATAACTAATTATATAATTATAATTATAATTATAACTAATTATAACTAATTACCCTTTCGAGGACTGTCTAATGTGCAGTCCCACAGCTCACGAGAAATCTTGTTCATGACTATTTCGTGAGCTTTAAATGCTTCTCTTGTCCTATTATTGAAAGCTTTTTGTATGTTATATAGTTCTTCTTCTAATACTATTTTTTAAACGTATATTAGTTCAGCTCAAATAGTAAAATTTTAAATGAATGCGCTCTAACCTTTACGTAATGAATCTCCGTAGAGTTTTTGTTTTCGGACGTAAACAAGTGCGGCCAATCCTTTAAATTCAGCGTTGTGAAGCGTCAGATAAAATGCCGGAATAATTCTTGACTCAAAAAAGCGTTTTGGACAAACAGTCGAAAATTTCTAGGTCAATCAATCAATATTAACTTTTTTCCATGTATTTCAACAGAGTAAAACATACTCACCTCACTAAAAATTTTAGCATAATCATAAGCAATATCGCTCTCTTTTTTGTATAAAATAAAATGCATCTCTTCTAAAATTTTTTCTACATCATGTTTTTTTAAAACATCATGTATAAAATGGTTTAATTCATAAAGTTGTTCAATTGTGGGGTTCAAAGGTGGTACCTCTCTTCTTACTATTAGGTAATCTTTGTAAAGTTTGTCTATTTTTCTTCCAAGTGAAAAAAACTTTTCTATTAATGACTTTGTTGTATCATGAAATTCTAAAGTTTTCTTATCGTTTGCGACATTAGTGAAACTCTCGAAACTATCACGATTTTCTAAAATTTCATTTAACTTATCATTGATACCAATGAAATTTTTGCTTGTATCATCCTCTTTATCGTCGAAAAGTAATAATGTAGCGAAGTTTACAGTGTATCTATCGAATTCGAATCCAGCTTTATTAAGTTTTGTCGGATCCAGTTCCGATTTTACATCGCGCACAGTAATGAATATAAATATAAATGATACTTTTACTAATATTAAACTCATGCTATCGATTTATTCAAAGCAAAAACATTGAATGTCAATTTCGAAAAATTTGTTGCATTATATATTTTGTCACAAATATAACACTTTACACACGATCATGAAATGTATGACGCAAATTCAACAAATGAGTTTATTATTTTTATTCTTTCCTCATAGCTATTTTGTCTTTTAGAAGAACACGAATCGTTTTTTCTACGCAATTGTTAAATAATTAAAAAATTTTCCTTTTTTTTTATTCGCATTTACATTAAAGAATGATTGCGTGAAACCTAACGAATGCATTTTTTAGCCAATACATCCAAAGCTAGCATGAGTAATTTGTTGATTTTTTGTCGTAGTCAAAACCTGATGCCTCGGGCGCTATTCTGAAATTGAAACTTGTTGTGTTCGCGGCGACCATCGATGATGCTCGGGCGTTCACAACACCATTTGTTAAATATGTCAGCCTCGCGTTGTGGTTTTAAGATGTAGAATACATGGTACACGCGCGCTCGCGTATACGTGTGTGTAGATGTGGGTGTTTATTTGAATGATGGTTACGGGCATGGGTATTCTCGTGCACATAGAGTGTTGTGTGCACGAGAAAATTCGACTAATTTTAACAATTCGATGATGATGAAGGGGTTGACATAAATTTCAAGGAAACAATAAAACAATCGCCGTGAACATGCCAATCAATATATCGAGTAAAAAATAAGAAAACTTATATTCGCGTGATTAACTAAAAAAAAGGATTGGTCATATTATTAATATTATCACTTGACTCGATAATTCCGATTTGGAGAGTTCATTCCCGTGAGCGAGAAGCAATTAGCAAGTATCTTGTCGCTTCTATTTTACCGCCCAGTGTGCTCCCATTTTTTATAGAATTTTAATTACTATCAGGATACTACACTTTATCTCTTACCCTCGCTGCAACGATTCCTCAAGAGGCTGCTTTTGCGGGCGAACCAGTTGCTGCGCTGAAACAGATTATCACGCTGATTTTGAGATATGTCAATCGCATCAATTCAAATTCAATACCAACCGCAGTGGCCAGTATCAAGTTGAACATCATAAATATGGCTATTTTAATTTTGTTAAAATTCAACAAGTTTTACACATCGAAAGAAATACGGATTAGTTTTATTTATTTTTTAATAAAGGCGTTATTTTTCACCTAGGATGTTGGGTGTACTATTTTTCTTGGGTAACAGAAAATAACATTTTCATTTTAGTCAGTGATGTTACTATTGGTTGGGGTATCAAGGAAATGTGATTTTCGGGTAACTAAATTGGAAATATTATATATAGAACCGAGCAGGGGGAAAATTAAGTTTGAGGTCACAAGTTTATCGAAAACTTATTACAAATTTAATGGGAATTTGTTTTCCTCTCTATCTATACGTTAAAATCTTTACAGATAAATATCCAGCCGCCTTCTTTTTGTAGCCTTTATGGAATAATCCGACCCCAGACAATGCAACGTCAGGGTGCTCCGATACGACAGGTTGTAAGTCTACAAATGGCACGACAGTTTGTCCGACATCTTGCTCCATACTGCTCGTCGTCAATGTAATGTACTGATTTGATTCAGAATACGAAATGTTTGTTTTTATCGGATGGGTAGGAGGTAAATCGGTGTGTTCCAGTTTAAATTGTCTGTAAATAAAATATTTTGATTCAATGAAAAATCTATCAATGATCGGAGTATCTCATTTACTTCAGCCGGTCTATAGATTTTGTGTGCTGGTGCCACAAATGTTGTTCAACTTTGAGTTTTCCATTCTGAAAATTAAATCGAGTGCCTCGAACTTTCAATCTTATAAGACCTTTATCTACAGTGAATCTTACACCAGTCACAACGTAATCTTTATCGAGTTCAATGTCGCCCAGCTCGAATGATCTAAGATCCCAGCTCAATTTATTATAATCTTCGCCTTCCGACACATCACTGTCGGTTGTCTTATACTCCTCGACTTTTACCCAAGATTTAGTGTTTGGATCAATTGTAGCCGATGGTAAAAGTTCGGCTTGTTCCACTTGAAGATGAAAAACATCATTGACTTTTCTAAAACGAATTCCTGTGACGACCCTAGTTACCGTTGATGGTTTTGTTAAGCTCATTTCAATCATTGACAATAATAATTTAAATTTCTTACTTATTTTCGTGCACATCAGATACAACCTCTCTCAAGTTGATGTAAACATTTGAATCAGGGTTTTCACACGTGCAAACGCATGAAGATTCGGAGAAATTATGGGGTAGACTGGCAAAATATATGGAGAATGTCGTAGGTATTAAAGAACGTATGTGTCTGTATAATTTTCCACTGCATGATTTTTCTTTTTTACCGTAAGTTTTAGGGCCAATTTCTGCATAGTCGTACTTTCGTGCTTTATCATTCTGAATTAAAATATCTTACATCAAAATATAATTAACGATAAATTTTTTTTAATTCATTACCGATGTTTGACAAACATCTGCATCGGAATCCAACATCTCGCAAGACTTTATTTTTCCACGGCAAAATGCGTATTCGTTGCACTCTGGCTTATATGTTGGCTGCCCGCGACAAAGACTTTCAACATCTTTAATTTCGACACAAAAATAACGAGCATAGTTTGGTGTTAAAGTTCGCGCAGATTCAAAAGTTTTATAGATAAATGGTCCAAACTGCTCATAGGTGAAACCTGAGAATATATTTATATTCAATTTTCGTTTTAGAGAAAACGATATAACCAATTACCTTTTCGAGGACTGTCTAATGTGCAGTACCACAGCTCACGAGAAATCTTGTTCATGACTATTTCTTGAGCTGTGAATGCTTCTCTTGTCCTAGTATTGAAAGCTTGTTGTATGTTATATAGTTCTTCTTCTAATACTATTTTTTAAACATATATTAGTTCAGCTCAAATAGTAAAATTTTTAATGAATGCACTCTAACCTTTACTTAATGAATCTCCGTAGAGTTTTTGTTTTCGGGCGTAAACAAGTGCGGCCAATCCTTTAAATTCAGCGTTGTGAAGCGTCAGATAAAATGCCGGAATAATTTTTGTTTCAAAATAGCGTTTTGAACGCCACAAAACAGTCGAAAATTTCTAGGGCAATCAAACAATATTAACTTTTTTTCCATGTATTTCAACAGAGTAAAACATACTCACCTCACTAAAAATTTTAGCAAAATCATAAGCAATATCGGTCTCTTTTTTGTATAAAATATAATGCATCTCTTCTAAAATTTTTTCTACATCATGTTTTTTTAAAACATCATGTATAAAATGGTTTAATTCATAAAGTTGTTCAAATGTGCGGTTCAAAGGTGGCACCTCTCTTCTTACTATTAGGTAATCTTTGTAAAGTTTGTCTATTTTTCTTCCAAGTGAAAAAAACTGTTCTATTAAAGACTTTGTTGTATCATGAAATTCTAAAGTTTTCTTATCGTTTGCGACTTTAATCAAACTCTTTAGAAAATCACGATTTTCTAAAATTTCATTTAACTTATCATTGATACCAATGAAATTTTTGTTTGTATCGTCCTCTTTATCGTCGAAAAGTAATAATGTAGCGAAGTTTACAGTGTATCTATCGAATTCGAATCCACCTTTATTAAGTTTTGTAGGATCCAGTTCCGATTTTACATCGCGCACAGTAATGAATATAAATATAAATGATACTTTTACTAATATTAAACTCATGCTCTCGATTTATTCAAAGCAAAAACTTTGAATGTCAACTTCGAAAAATTTTTTGCATTACATATTTTGTCATAAATGTAACACTTTACACAAGATCATGAAATGTATGACGCAAATTCAATAAATGAGCTTATTACTTTTATACTTTCCTCATAGCTATTTTGTCTTTTAGAAGAACACGAATCGTTTTTTCTACGCAATTGTTAAATAATTAAAAAATTTTCCTTTCTTTTTTATTCGCATTCACATTAAAGAATCATTGCGTGAAACCTAATTAATGCATTTTTTAGCCAATACATCCAAAGCTAGCATGAGTAATTTGTTGATTTTTTGTCATAGTCAAAACCTGATGCCTCGGGCGCTATTCTGAAATTGAAACTTGTTGTGTTCGCGGCGACCATCGATGATGCTCGGGCGTTCACAACACCATTTGTTAAATATGTCAGCCTCGCGTTGTGGTTTTAAGATGTAGAATACATGGTACACGCGCGCTCGCGTATACGTGTGTGTAGATGTGGGTGTTTATTTGAATGATGGTTACGGGCATGGGTATTCTCGTGCACATAGAGTGTTGTGTGCACGAGAAAATTCGACTAATTTTAACAATTCGATGATGATGAAGGGGTTGACATAAATTTCAAGGAAACAATAAAACAATCGCCGTGAACATGCCAATCAATATATCGAGTAAAAAACGAGAATTTGCGTATCGATTAACTGAAAAGAAAGAATCAATTAATGATGAGTTTAATTGCTTGGCTTGCCTTACTCATCATCCTCGGTTATGGAAAAATACATTTAGAGCATAGAGGCGTTGCGGTATGATTCAGTCCCTAATAGATGACCGCTAGGGTTTTTTGTATTCGCTTTTTTCATCATCATCGCAATTACACGCAATTGTTCGTGAAATTTCCCAGTAATGTCCAATATCAGAGTTAAACTGCTGAAAGATGGCTTTTCGAATACGACTTAGACCTATAATTCATGCTTTCAATTTGTTATAAAACTTTACTCGGATTTCATTGATATCATAGTTTAATGATTTTTTAAAAAAAAAGCACATTACCAATGAATAGGCAGCACTTACAAAATACGATCATTCAAGTGAAATTATAAGTTAAAATTTTTGGCGCAAGATATCCAGCTGCATTCTTTTGGTAGCTTTTATGTATCAATCCAATTCCAGATAATGCAACATTAGGGATTTCTGATTCAATCGGCTTCAACTCTACGAATGGTACAACACTTTGTCCGACATCATCATCCATACTACTCGTCGTCAAAGTCATATATTGTCCTGGATCCGTAATAACGGGCTGGCTTATCGGATATTTAGTCGGCAAATCTGTGTATTCCAATCCAAAGTGTCTGTAATCAATTAATTATGTTCAACATGTCATAAAAAGTCGATATTTGAATGAAGTATGTCTCATTTACTTCAGCTGGTCTTTAGATTTTGTGTGCTGGTGCCACAAATGTTGTTTAACTTTGAGTTTTCCATTCTGAAAATTAAATCGAGTGCCTCGAACTTTCAATCTTATAAGACCTTTATCTACAGTGAATCTCGCACCAGTTACAACGTATTTTCTATCGAGCTCAACGTCGTCCAGTTCGAATGATCTAAGATCCCAGCTCAATTTATGATAATCGTTGCCTTCCGAAACGCCTTTATCAGATGTCTTATACTCGTTGACTTTTACCCAAGACTTAGTTTTCAGATCAATTGCAACTGATGGCAAAAGTTTGGCTTGCTGTACTTGAAGATGAAAAACATCATTGATTTTTCTAATGCGAATGCCTGTGATGACCCTGTTACCGACGATAGTTTTGTTAAACTCATTTCAATCATTGAAAATAATAATATAAATTTCTTACTTATTTTCATGCACATCAGATACAACTTCCCTCAAATTGATGTAAACGTTTAAATCGGGATTTTCACATGAGCAAAGGCATGAACTGTCGTATTCAGTGAATGAGCCCATGTAACCATTCACGTATACTCTAGCTTTGTGTTCATATATTCTTCCTCTGCATTCTTGATCTTTTTGTCCTATAATCTTTCCCCAAGAGTATTCCGCATAATCGTACTTGCGCGCTTTATCATTCTGAATAAAAAATCTTACATCAAAACATAATTATCGATATGTTAAATTGAATTCATTACCGATGTTTGACAAACTCTTATTTTTCCGGCCAATGATTCGCAAGACTTTACTTTTCCACGACAATACGTTAATTGATGGCACGTAGATCTAGAACTTTCGTGACAGACACTTTGAGTATTTTGTATGGCGGGACATGAATAGCCAGTAAACATCTTTGATATGGTGTCCGCAGGTTCGAATGTCCTATATATAAATGGGCCAAACTGCGCATAAGTGACACCTGTAATAATATTCATGATCGATTTTCGTTTTGGAAAAATCATTACTGCTTACCTTCTCGAGGAGTTTCTAAAGTACAGTTCCACAACGCACGAGAAATTTTGCTCATTGTTTTTTCCAAAATTCTGAACGCTTCATTTGATCTTTCAATGAAATTTTGTTTCACATCATCTAGTTCTGTTTCCAAGTCTATTTTTTTAAATATATACATCAATTCAGTTTTATTAAAAGATTTTTAATAAATTCAATCTAACCTTCTTCTGTTTGATCTGTTTGCTCGATTGTGCTGTAGTATTGTTTCAATGCGTACGCAAGTACAGCCAATCCTTTCAATTCAGCGTTGTGAAGCGCTAGATAAAAAAGCAGAATAGTTTTTGCCTGCGAAAGGCGACTCGGACAAACAGGCAAAAGAATCTGCAAGAGGAATGATAAATACCAATTCATTTTTTCCACGTATTTCCAAATAGTAAAGCACACTCACCAACTCATACTGCGTCGAATATTTATAAACAATATTTCCCTCTTCTGCATATAATTTTGCGTGCATACTCTCTAAAGTGTGTGTAACACCATTACGATGATCAATAACACCATTTGCAAAGCTATTCAAAGATCGCAAAGTGCTATGTCCTTTTAATATTTGTTTGAGTGTCTTGTAATCACGGTCTATATCGCTTCCAAGGCCCCAAAATGTTGTTATTAGAGGTTTCGTATCTACGAGTAATTTTATCTGTTTTAATTCGCTGTCGACTTCAACCTTAAACTTTTCAAGGTTTTCAGAAATAGCATCTAACTTATCGTTGATGACACGGAGAGTGTCACCGATTTCATTCTCTGAAGCATCCGAAGATATTAACGAAGCAAAGTCAAGAAGAGATTTCCCAAATTCTAATGGATTGCTGGCAGATTTTATGATTTCGAATCCAGCTCCTAAGACTTGTAAAGGATCCACTTCTGATTTTACATTACGCGCAATAATGAATATGAATAAAAATGATAATTTTACTAATGTTGAACTCATGTTATTGAAATATTCAAGGCAACAAGTGAAAATTGAGTTTGCAAAATTTGTAGTATATTTATATTCGTTCAAAAAATATAACTTTATACATGATCACGAAACGCATGACGCATATGCAATGTTTATATATGGTTAAATCTAAAAAAATGCAGTATCATCGGTGAAAGATATCAAAGCTTTGGCTTTTCACTGAAAAAATCACCCAAAAAATCACCAAAATTCACTATGTATCTCAAAAAACATAATACGGAAAAATTAACTCATATGTTATCGGAAAATCGAACTATACCCTTGGAAAAACACGACGCTTCGTCTTCTGGAACACAAAAGTAGCTATATCAAAAATACCCATCTTCAAATGACATGTTCATGCGCTCTTTCTTGTTTCTAAACTCCCCAGGAACAATTTCCAAAACTCGCGGCCCACGGTCAAGCAAATAATATTGATTTTTTTATTGACGAAACTACCTTCTTTTTGGATTTGACAATATGTATTTATTTTTATACTTTTCATAGCCTTTTTGCCAGTTAAAAGATCACGAATGTTTTTATCTACACAAATGTTAAATAATTAAGCTATTTTTTTATCTTCGACAGCAAAATAAATGTGTTATATTTTCATTTTTTGCCCAGTAAATACTCGAGTCCTTTAGCAAGAATGAGGAATTAGTAAATTTTTTTTCATAAACTGACAAATCTCACGCAAATTCATAATCGATGCCTTGTTGATTTGTAAAATATTTCAATGTATCTCATGAGATTGCTTCAAATTTCAATCAAGATCAAAAGGTAATATAATTGAGCATTTTACATTCTGTGCAAGTTGTCAAACTCACTACCAGTCATAATGAAACAAAAATTTTCGAATTTTCGATTCTCGCGTGTAAATGTAGTATACAAGATGGACACGTTTAATCCAAAAAGGTAAATTTTGACACCTCGAAGCACAATCTAAACATCTTGTCCATTCTGGAAAAAAGTAACCTGCTTGAATGATACTTTTCAGATAAATAGTACAATATTCATCCATCAAAAAGTGTTATCTGTTGATATTTTTAATAAAAATTTTACGTTCTAGTGTTAATTGAATTTATTATTTTGGGTTACGCGTGAATTATCTCGATTTTGAACATTTTCAAGCGTGCTTGCATAGATTCAGAATCAAATTAAATAATTCTTGCTTACGCTACAGCCTTGAATTTTTTTCAAAATTTCAATAATTTCAAATTTTAAATGCTCAACAGTCTATTTGGTTTTGACATTAAGAATTTGCAGCATATACTATTCAGTACGATTTTCACTGTGTTCGTGGAAAATTACAAAATTTATACGAGTTTGTTGAAAAGTTTTTTAGCGAATAGCAATATGCATTGTAACATTTTTATGGGCTTTAAAAACGAACTCTGCGCATGCCATCCGATACTCGAGTGCGAATTTTTCGGCCGAGCGCGCCATCGAGCGGTACGCGTCTGAAACTCTACGCGCAGGTATGGCAATACATAGTAGCGCACGCGTAAAATCCCAAGCGCGATTGCGGCTTGAGTGAGCGAAGATAATGATGGTGCGCGATCGGGCCGTGATAATATATATAGAAACGAGCTAGTTGCTGTACCGACCGTCGAAAAATAACTTATATGTAAGTAAACAATTTCTACAGCTTATCGTTAGTGTCTCAATTTGTTTTTGTTTTTTTTTCGAAGGTACATATCAATCAATGATCGATCAAAAAGAAAATCGTCCGGTCTCGATCGGTAACAAGCGAATACATCAAGTATCATACGGCACTCACTTATCAATACGCATTGCTCATCGCGAAGAACAAATAAATCTCGTCAAGCTTCGAGCCCCGCACAAGTGTATTTTTTAGCAAGTGCTCTCTTTGAGTGTCCGACTTCGATGAGAGACGGAATCGCGTCCCACGGAGGTTCACTCGCGCACGAAGAGCGTTCAAAAATATTAGAAATAACAAAAGAAAAAACGAAAACATACCGCAACATTTTTTTAAAAATAACTCGCGTCGTGTACCGATGGCTAAGATTGACGTATGTGCGGGCGTGAACTCTGCAATGGCCATTTTTTAAGTACGTAAAGAAGAAAAGCAAAATTGATTTTTACAGCCACGCGGTGTACGGAGTATTTCGAGCGAGTCATCGGACTCGAAAAAAATTACTCTCTTTCTCATTCGATTTCTTATATTGGCGTTTTCGCGCGTACTTAATCTCTCCCCCGCGACAACCGCGTGAAAAAGCTCGCGCGAAAAAACAAAAGATTACGAGCTTTGGGCGTGTACAATATGTATATAGTAGGTGTATAACGTAATGCCGACACATCTGCTGTACACGGCGTTCGCATGTGGGAAAAATGTTTTCTCCTCTTGCTCTGCCCTTGATTGCCGTATAGTATACATACACTCGTACAACGATACATACGTATATAGATGAGAAAAGTCAGTGGCGCGTGACGCGCCGAACGATTTGTCAGGCAGCGAGTTGAAGCTCGCGCACAGAAACGTACACCAAAACGGCCGCACAAATACGAGAACATGTGTAACTTTATTATATCGTCCCCCGCGCGCCCGCGCGCATGCCAGTGTTCGGAATAAATAGCCCCCCTCCACCCCCGTGTATATACATAGATGCGTATGCGTATTCGGGGGTCCCGACAAAAAATAAAGGAAGGAAGGAATGAAGGATGAAAGGGGGGAGAGATATGAGCGAGTGAATCCGCGGCCGGCGCGATGAGTCAGATTTTCTTTTCTCGTGCACGATGCGAGCGAGCGAGGCCAATGGTTCTGGTTCTGGCCAGAAAGAAAGGAAAAGCCGAAGGACTGCTGTTACTGCAGGGCGAATCGATGCGTAACCCCGATGTTACGTTACAGATATGAAAAAGTCACGTTTATATATATCAGTTACATTATATTATCGGCCTTCATTTTTCGGGATCCGATGTACCGATAATCCGACTGCACACGTCGTCGTGATTTTTCGATAAATCGTCTCTCTTTCTCCGTCGTTTCGCGACGAAAGGAATATTTCCCCTTCCCCGTCTTCGTGTGTACGCGTCACTCGAGCCACACGAAGGACCGATAATTGTTTCTACTATAATGTAAGAAACTTTCATCGTCGAATTGGCTGAGATTCTCTCTCTTTATACCCCGCGAGTGTATACGTATACGCGACATCACACCCACGCGTCGGGCAAAGTTCATGTATGTGTACACACTCGTGCGCGCGAAACGCAGATCTAATAAAAGCGGGAAAAGCTCGTGAATTTACGGCCTAATATACGTGACGCATATTACAGACACATGTATATACAGTTGTATGTAGCGTCACAGGGTCGTTTATTTGCTATATCGTGCGCTGGTGTGTGTACAGCGATTCGCGTTCGTCGAGTGGCGCAGGCATTTCCAACCCTCCCCGCGCGTGACTCTCGGCTCTTTGATTGAAATTACAGAGATTGTTTCTTTTATATATAGTAAATATACGTAGGTAGATAGAGAGACGTCCGTCGAAGGGTCACACACGCGCGTCGCGGAGTAGAGCTCATTAATTACGATACACTTCAATATTATCGAGTGTTTCACTCGATACGAAGAATTTTCATAAATACGAAAGGTGGGAACGCGAATCGTAATAAAGTCCATGCGATGCTGCGAGTCGTTTTAAACTCGAACGCCGAGTACATCTCGCAAGTAAGTTAACGAACTTACACGATACAGTTGAGTAAACATTCACGCTTGCGTTCTCGTAAAAAACGATTATATTTTCGTGCTTACAAATACGAAACTCGATACGAGCCCTGTATATATGGGTACATTATAAGTATGTGTAATAACGAGGCTCGGGGCTGTCGCGCGACAGCCACGCGAGTTAAAGTGTCGAAGAAAAACCAACGACTCTTTTTTTCCCCCCTTTCTTTCTAATTTCCTTCCTGCGTGACAAAAAAAAGGCTAACGCGTCTCTCGCCTTGTTATCCTATCCGGCACGCGGTATCTATAGTAGGCGCGAGTTTACAGTTGGAGGAAGCTACATAAGGAGGCATTGGAAAGCTGCTGCTGCTGCTGTTGGGAGATGCGCGTGCCATAGCCATAAGCAGTTTGACGTCAGTCTCGACGACGACGACGACGACGACGACGACGACGACGACGATGTCGCGACTCGTGCATATGTGTGTGCGAGTGTGTAACACACACCCTGACACATGGTAATATAGCTGCGCGGTGCCGATAGACCGGAAAAGCTGGCTGTAGGCCTTATGCGCTGCCTTGTGTGCGATTGCAGCGTCTATATTTTCTTTCTCGATCAGGAGAAAGTACTGAATCAAAGTTGGATATAATTGAAACGAAACAAAAGTTAATAAATTTGTTTTTTTTTTCAAGTTTATTTATTTGAACAATATGCAAATCATATGTCACATTTAACTTATAACAATACGCCACAAATAATAGAATTTTCATTTCGTTCATTAATTTTAAAAGAAAACCTTTACAATCTTCACCATACAATTTGCAGCTTTTCTGGAGCTTTCTTGGCCCTCACAGGCCTTTGGCTATTACATTTTACAACGTTTGCTCTTACTTTTTTTTTATCGTCTTTGCGACCTTGTCTCGTAGTCGCCGAGCAAATATGCCACAAATCCTCGTTCGTCAAATTCTCAACGATCATCTCGCAGCAAAGAATCGGCAGTCGATTGTGAGTCAGCTGCAGGAACGGCTCCACTGCCCATCGCCGGAAAAATCTTTTCGACAGTTTTTCGCACAGATGCCGGATGCAAGCCTCGCTGTACTTTTCATCGGGGAACCGCTCGAAATCACCCGCGGCCGCGAAATTAAAATAGTCCTCGAACGCGAGCTCTTTCTCGGCCTCTTCGGCTCGTAGCCGGATCACGTCGTAGAGCGATAGCCTCCCGCGTTTGCGCAATTTTTCAATCGCTCTTTCTACCTCCTCGAAATCGAAGAGCACTTCGTCGGTGAAAGACACCCTCGGAAGTATGAAGATATTTTTCGCTTCTTTCCGGAACTCCTTGATATGCCAAAATTTTTCCAAATCCGTCGACTTTTCGAACATGTCGTACTTGGCGAAAAATTTCATGATAGTCGTGGCGTCACTTTGGTCCATTCGATACCCTCTTTTCTCGAGATGTTCGACGACGCCCAGAGCCCCGGACGCCAGTCTCAATTTATAATCTTCCCAAATTTCATCAACCCAAAGTTTAGATCTGAAGTCATTCTCAGCTGGGAAAACGAATTTAGACAAATCAGCGCCACGATCTAAAAGTGCGCCGACTATATGCGGCAAAAAATTCGACACAGCTATAAACAGTGGTGTCCGGCCACGATTGTCAAGAGGGTCGATCGGCACCGGTTGATTTTTTTCGTCGCATATCTTGAAAAATCGGTCCACCAAGTCATCGTCGTCTTCTTTTTCGGCAATCAAGTGCAGCGGTGTCAATCCTTTTTCATCCACGACATTCGGATCCGCGCCGCTTTGCATCAGCGATTCGAACGCCTCCTGATTATTGAAGCACAGAGCTAGGTGAAGCGGCGTATCGCCAGTTTCCGTCACGACGCAATTGGGATCCTGTCCGAGCTCGAGAAATTTCTCGATGACTCCGTCGCAATTTTTCAAACAGGCTATTTGAAAATGCGTGTAGCCCGACTCGTCCGTGTAATTCACATCGAACCTGTCGTATATTTTAAAAAGATCAGGGATGATATCTCTGTTCTTCGTAGACTCAATGGCATGATGCAGTGCAGTGGTGCGACGTGACAATGGTTTGCCGTAATCGTCGAAGTCGGGCTTGTCTCTGTAGCCGGAGTAAATCACAAAGACAACGAGTGGAACTAGCTCTTTCCGGTATTTACCCGACTCGACGCACTCCGTGAGAAGCCAATCGATCTCGTCGCGCCCGAAAATGTCACGGAGATCGGGCAGCGGGCCCTTCCAATTTCTGAGCAAGGGATAGAGTTGACGGAGAAATTTGCGTCGCTCCTCTTCGATCGACCAATTGATCGTGCGTCGTAAACTCTTCAATTTTGCCGAGCTGTCTTGGTTAGGACGATTCTCGTCTTCGGAATCGGAGTCGTCTCTTTTGGCAAAAACTCTCATCAGGCTACTTTCGAAGGATGATTCGCTGGACGAAGACATGCTGCTCTGCACACTCACAGTTCACTCGCTAACGCAGTCGCTTATACGATATATTATTATCAAGTATTTTTCACTTTTTTTCGCTGAGAATCACTGCGGCTTCGGTCGATGCGATCTTTCTTGGTACTTAACCTGTACCGACTGAACGTGCACAATGATATATATATATGACTACCAACACTGCAGTCGGCGATACGTCGTTGTTTGAGTGGGCAACTCGCTTGACAAAGACAGATGACACGCACGACGACCGACGCTACGCTTGGAGTTTGGACCGCTTAGACGTTGCAAAGACACGTCGAACGGTTCGCAGCAAAAGCTAGCAAGCAGACTCTCGGCAGTTTCGACACTCAAAGGCGCTGACCAATTGCAGCGCATGAACGATTATATAATGCCGTGTTCAGGTACAGGTAATATCGGTCATTTTCACAGTTGCGTTAACACTGCAGTCACTTTACTGATTTGCACATGGAGGTAAAACAAAATTAAGGTCTCTCGTTTATGTGACAACTTCTTAGCTCAACTATTTTTACCCAACACAGTTAAGGCTTTAAATTCAATAATTCTGAGCTAGCTCTATTCATTAAAAAACCAGCGAAGCAGAATTTAAGCTAAAAAATGCATCGTACAAAAATAGCTGTATCTCAGCGAATCTTGCGAATTTTTAACTTCTGAAACCGGCGTTGGAAAGGTGAGAAAAAAACCTATCAGATAGTTCCATGCAATTTTTCCATAGTTGATTCTACTTAGCCATTTCCTGAAAGAAACTAATACACTTTTCGATTTTTCAATTTTTCGTAATGTCGTTTTTTGGGATAAAGTTGTATTTTTCTGCATTAAAATAATTTCAAAGTGTATACTAATTTATACCATTGGATTTGTCATAAAAAATCCTAAATTTTGGTGGTGTCAAAAAATTTTCTAGATTTTTTCTGTTCATTTGCCACTCGCTCGAAAATGAACTTTGCGGAATTTGCGAAAAAGAACGATCGAAAAAGTGTATTTTTTTGAATGAAATTGTGCTCCTAGGTCAAAACTGACTACAGCATTCAATTCTGCTGACAAAAACAAATAAGAAAATGTATTGTCAAGATTATTTTTACACTCTAAACAGAGTTTGAAATAAATCGAATGATAGCCCGATTTTGCTTCTTTTTTGGAGCTCGTTTTTAAACTTCAAAAATCCATCGACACCATCTAAAATCATTTTTTTGAGTTCTAGTTTATGGGAAAATTCATTTTAAACCTCAAATTTTCTGATTCCGATGGATCCCCCGAGATACAAAAAATTTTTGAAAAAGTGGACCACCCTACTATATATGCTTATAGCTCAAAAAAGTGTTTTTTTTGTATAAATACGCTTGACTTTTGAGCCGTTTTTTTGGCCATATAATGCGTTTTTCGAAAAATCTAAGGTCACCATCGGAAAGAGCATGTAAAAATCTTTCAAAATACATGTGTCGATTATTTTTTCAAGGTCACTAGTAGTTTTACCAGCGAATTAGAAAAGTTTTGATCGGTGGATAATGGAGCGCGCGTTTTGCCTGCACTAATTATTTTTCCTCGGAACACAAATGCTTATAAAAAAATTACCTATTAAAATTTCGATTGTTCACGCATTTTTTTAGCTTCCTAGGACCTTCAAGAACAATACCCAATGTTCAAAGTATGCGTCCAACGAAAAAAAATTGTTCCGTTTTTAGTCGAAAAATTCGAAACTAAATTCCGGAATTGCTCATATACGTATACGTATACGCTATTCGCCGCGCGCATAATAGCGCGGTACTATATATATATATATATATATATGCGAGCCGCCCTCGAAAGCCGCGTGTGCCGCCGCGCCGAAGACGAGCCCGAGCGAGCGAGAGAGAGAGAGAAGTCAGTTTAAGCCGGGACGCGCGATGCTACGGAGCTTCTTGCTCTACCTCTGCTTCTTCCTCTTCGTAATACGATAATAATACGCGCGTCTATTATAGAATATCATTGCTCTAAGTGCAATATTCGACGGAGTGTCTGTTGGTGTGTGTTTAGGTTTTGGAGCTGATTTGTAGCCGTGCGATTTTTCTGTTTTTTTTTTGGTTTGTAATTTATTTACAAATCGTTTATGTGAGTGAAGTGCGGCCCGCATTTATTGTTTCGCGATTTCCATATAAAGAAGATCGCGATCGAATAATATACGCAAATGGTGCAGGCGAATTATCGACTCTCATCATCGCGTGGCTCTTTGAGTTAAGGTAAGTCGAGCAAAAATAGATCAAACGCCGCAGCAGCGGCAGCGGCACACACGTCCAAAGTTGCCCAATATTATCATCGATGCGTGGCGTATGTGCATCGCGATGAATATATATATGCGCGCGCCTCGCGTTGATGTATACGTAGCTCGGCAAAATTGACGGGCGCTAATAAACACCGATATATATTCCGCGACGCATCGTTCGACGTGTTTGCCGCTGCCGATTCCATTCGTTGTATACGTACTTTGGCCGCAGAGGATAGTCGATGTTGATATCAATTTCCTTTTATTTCTTTTGTAGCGAATTAATTGGTATGCCATCGAAAGCTCGTCGGATCAAAAGCACGGGACAGCGTCTTCTACTGCGCGTCAGCCACGCGACATCGTGAAAACGCTTTGCGAAAGCAGTCGTCGTCGAGCGTGTGCGCGACAAGAGTTCACCGACGAAAAAACAATCGGTACAACGAAAAAAAAAAAGAAGGAAAATTCGAGACAAGAGAAAATAAGTATTAAAAACAAAAATAGATACGTGAGAGGACCTAGAGCAAGGGAACAAAAGACCGAGAGAGGCCTGGCCCTGGAATAAAAAGTACCAAAAAAAAAAAAATTAAAAAGGACAGAAACGAATCAGCATATCGAAACAAAAGAACGGGTCGAAAAAGGAAAAAGAAGAAGAAGACGACGCAGTGTCGAATTACTCGCAGTTATCATCGTCAAATTAAAAAAAAAATATTCGCCAATATTTACCACTATCAAGAAGCCCCGGGGATCGATCGATCCGATCGCCGTGAGTTTTTTCTCCGTGTATCTGTGCGCGTGTGTTATATTACCCGTGTGTGTGTGCTCCAGTGATCACCTATATATATATACACGATATACATACGCAATATACGCACGATGAATATGCATGCGAGCGGCGCAACATCAGCAGCAGCAACAACGACGACAGTAGTAGTAGTAGCTGCGGCGGCCGATGACTCTCCGGCTGATTATCATCGTGTGCGTCGCGCGTAGTGCATTTCGGGGCCGCCTCTTTCAAACGCGACTCTGTCTGCCTGCCTGTATAATATTTATTTATTTATGTGCGCGCGACGCAGTTAGTCGTCGCAGCAGCAGCAGCAGTCACAACAACACACAAAATGATGATGATGAAATCCATCGCTCGGCTGTTGACGCTCGTCGTTTTCTTCTGCGCCTGGTCGACTACTACTACTTCAGGTAAACGAGCCAAAAAAAAAAAAAATTTTGCCGTCGAATTTTCGAGAGCACGTTTGCGAAATTGTTTTTTATTTTCCGAAGCCTCGAACGTAGCTCCGTAAAGAGTATACACAAAGATATTTCTATTTTCTATAACGTATGACAAATGTAGCAACATTTCTTGCGACTTCCTATACATCTTCGAGCTTATCTGGCATCTGTGCGTAACGCTAGTGTAATACACGTAACTCTCGACTATATACCAACAATGAAAGAGGAAAGAAAGAATCGCCAAAAGCGCCGTGTGCTTCACCGACATATATATACCAACTTATTAAAATCTATATCTATAATGGGATCGGGAAAATTAACTGTAAACGTAGGCGCGCGCGGAGTGATCCTATCTTCCTTTATCATTGGACTCGTGTTATATACGCGCGGAGAGATGGATTCTATTATATACGCGCAGCAGCTTTCCCGATCCGTATATCGACGGGCCGGGATTAACGAGTCGATATAATAATTCTCAAAGGGAAATGCGTAGAGTTTAATTCGCCGACGTATGTTGCGTGTGTTTGTGTACATCATCCCCCGCGCGCGCGCATTTCCAATCGATCGATGCCCGGAAATAGGCCGATATCTTTTTATCGAGATTATATTGCGATTCGAAATTCCGCGGAAAAGGAGAGACGTGCCGTGAGAGTCTAATATGATTTTATATGTATGGAGAGACTCGAAAACTTCCGTTGCTGATCCTCGCGCTTTATCTATACGTACAAAGTGTTTACCTGTATATACGATGATATATCGCATGGGAATAATCCTATATCTATGATTGGTGACAAATCTCGACGACGAAATAGAGAAAAAAAAAGTTTATCGATATATAGCAAGAGGCGTTTATTTTTCGGGTCGTCTTTGTGGTTCTCGATGAGAGAGTACGACGCAAGGAGTACACACAAGTTTTTTTTTGCGCCATTAGTCAATAAACGATAAGAGAGAAAGGAGGCGAGAGAGTTGGATGTGTATGTGCGGAGAGGTGTGCGCGCGCGCGGGTCCCGGACAATGCTCCACGTTGATTCAAGTGTTTTCGTTCTAGCGCGACGCACACACACACACGCGCGTCCACCGGAAGTGTAACAAACTCGATCTCGCTGTGTTTTTTTTTTTTTTATTTTTGTAATTTTTTTCCTCCGTCGTGGTGCATCGAGAAAGCTATACCATTTTTTTCTCTGTTATCTCACATTTAATATAGTTCACTGCCTTCTAATTTTCGCGGTATTATTACGTTATTATATGGACGATGTGCACGCGCGAGAATTATTACAAAAGAGATTTTGAGTATGCAGGGCGCAACGAGGCCTCGACCGAGGGCCATAATAACTCGACTGATTGAGTCATGGTCAAGCTCAAATGAGAGAGCTTTCGATCGCGCGATCGAATCATGCCACGTATCCCGCGAAATTCGTGCGTATCTGCGTCGTGTTTCACCATCGACGTGCTCTCGGCGATTTCGCGGCCAGTTCGACGCAATAACGCAAAAAGCCTTTTCTCCCTCTCGAACTTTATTATTTACTTTTCACCCTCGCCCATGATTTACGATTCGATTTGTATTATCGCATCGCCTTCGATTCTTCGCGACAAACTCACGCGTTATAAATTTCAAAGGAAGACTATGCGCGAGCGAACGAACGTCGCAGAAAAGCTCGAGTGTATAGTGTGGTCACGCGCTTTCGATCTTCTTCTCTTTCCACCTTGTGTATAAATAACGTCGAGTTCTGAACTTTTGACTTTCGCAACCCATCTATAGTGCGCCGCCCATTTACAAGCGTACGTACGCGTGCATAAATGTACACCATGAAAAAATTTCTCAAAGTCTGGAATATGTATATTGTGAAGCACATCACGCGAGCTTTTTTTTCGCGTGTCTACTTAACGCTATGTACGCGGGGAGCTTTTCATAAAATATATATCATATTTATAGCGTTGGTACAAACGTGTGCGTATACACGTTAGTGTTTTTTTTCGACTATACAACGAAAAAAGGAAGGAAAGAAAAAAAATAGGTACCAACAGGCAAAATGCTTCTCTCTCGATTAATCTCTCGACTCTGTAGATATGCCTCGCTTCTTCTTCTTCTTCTTTTTTTTCCTCGCTCTACTTGAAAGCTCACTCGCGAAATTAGCGCGCTCGAATCGCCCAACAATACCTTATATTGCCCTCTCTCTTTCTTTTCTCCTTCGTTAATAGCCCGGGTATAATAATAAAATACGCAATATATGTATAGATAGACGTACGTTATTATACACGAGAGAGTAAAATTCATTAATAACGCGTCGATTCAATTTGTTAAATAGCTCGATCCAAGCGTGAATTTACAATATAATTCCTTCGAGCGTTATCGCCCGCGGAGGGGGGGGAGGAGAAAATGCGCGGCGGCGCGCGACCTCGATAACACTTACGCGTGAAATGATTAGCGCGTCGCATTAAAATTACTCTCTACATGTATATATACGATGTGTCGAGTCAAATCTACGATATAGCATGCGAGACGACAGGGACAGAAAAAAACACACCTTAATCGCGCGTGCCGACGCTCGGCTATACACACATTGCAACTTAATAATTTCTTTCATTTAATGTTATTATAAATGTTATATTTATACCCGCCCGTGCACCAAATCGTGACGTATTAATACATTAACGCTTACGTAGCATGTGCAAACGAGCTTTTAATAATTAAGCGTGGAAAATTATTTAAAACCAACATTGCTGTATTAGTATGTATTATTATTATTATTGGTATATAAACGCGGGGTTCGCGTTGGTGGATACATCATATGGGAAGGACGCGGGTGGCGGCGGCGGCGGCGGCGTGTCCGTATTACGGACTTTACGAGACGAGTCACGCGAAGCAAAAGCGTATACACACACACAGACACATATTTGCAAATATTTGCTCGACGATTTCTACATTAGCATATACACAACGATGCGTGGATATATGCACGTGTGTGTATCAAGTCATTTTCGCGTATTTCTTCTATCTCTCTTTGGTCAAAGTATAAAACTGTTGCTTATATATTATACGTGTGCACAGCGATAGAGAGTGAGAGAGAGAGAAAGATGTATTTTGTAATTATCGGAGGGCACGAATTTTTTCAAAGGCGGATCGCTGCCACGCGTATAATTATTAATTCCAACATACCCGAATGATATTCAAAGGGAGCTCTCTCTCTTTCTCTAAATTGAATTCAATCCGCGATACCGATATTTCGTCTTTGTGTATAATATTAGCGGCAAAAATGCGAACAATCTCTTTGCTCAATGTCCAGTTCTCGATCGTTTGCTTCGTAAGTTCGAAGGTAAAAAGGCCAGCACATACACGCATGCATATACTCAGCGAAACGCGAATACATCGTACACGTCGATGCAAATACGTCGTAAATGATGCAAAGAGTTTTTCCGACTGCGTTCGCAGTCGTAAATTTGATTATGTCACGCGCGCGAGCTAGCCTCAACTTTTGAGGAACGCGCGCGCTTCTAACGAGACTCTTTCCAAGGACACGCTGTAACGTAATAATACAAATGTGCGCATTTATCGATGAAAATCGATGCGAAGTATTTTTACGTACACCTCGGGTGGATCGTGTAATCGTGTTTTGTTAATTTTGTTTATTCGCGCGCGTTGGAAGAAAAAATCTACGTGGGCACGCTGCTGTTTATTGTAACGAGTTTAAAATCGATTCCACGCGCGAAGTTTACGCGGATAAATATCATCACGACGGCACGTACAGGTGGATGAAAAAAAAAAAAAATAATAAAAAAAAAGAGACGAGAGTTCGATGCATCATCATTTACGCGTCGCTTTGATAGAGATAGCGAAAAAAACGGTTACGCGCGAAACGCGCCCATGCATCCCTTTTTATTATCCTCGTACACAACATCGACAGAGAGAGAGAGTAGAGTAAACAGAGGCGAGCTTGTAGCGATCGCGTGTTGATAGACCGGGCGCGTATACTACGTATCATCATCAACATCGTCGTGGCGTCGACGGCGGCGCAGAGGTAGAAAAAAAAAAAGAAATAGGTAAAGGTAGAGAGGAAAAACGGGAGATCGATTCTCTCTCTCTCTCTCTCTCTTGGATAAAAATGAGGAAAAGAGGATACACCCGGCTTTATAGGCCTTTTACTCTCCGCGATGCGCACGAACGAGAGTGATTGGAAAAAGGAGAGACGACTTCCGATACTTTGGCCTGCGGAGAGAAGAGGAAGGGGAAAAAAAATCACGAGACATACGAGGCACTGCACGACGACGCTCGTATACACTCTAGGAAAATAAAGATATACGCTATATATAGATACCGCTGCACATGCACTATATACGCAGACAACACAAAAACTTTCCGCGAGATAGATCTTTTGTCGCGAATACTTGGGCCGTAAATATCGGCAAGATTGGAAAATCGTGCAATTTTCTTTATTCGAGCTACTTCGTGTGCGCGGCGGTGGTGGTGAGATGTTAATGCGGCGTGCGGCGAAAGAGTAAAATTAAAAGATCGCTCGACGACGACGAGCTTGTAAACTTTCCTTTTTTTCAACTCATTGTCTCTCTTGTAACAATGGATTTTTCCGAGAGTTACGATCGAATTTACGAGACCTGCGGGGGGCGCATTCGTATACGGAGAACGCGCGCCGATAATACAATTGACGGATTTACACACTGTGCTTCGTGCATGAAAGGGCTCTCCTCTGAAAAGCTCGCTGAATTCACGACTCGCGAAGCGCGAAAGGAAATTAATGTTTCGAGCTCGCGAGATGCATAATTTATGCCTAGAGCTTTTACGTAGTATTATGCGCGACGCAACACAACACAACTTGGGGCGCGCAATTCAAAAAGTTTATTACGCGTACATAACGTATGTATGTATATTTGAGCGGGTGTATGTGGGCATGACTCTCTATAATATATGTTCTATATCGATCCTTGCATGTACCGCGAGGTCAAGGACAGCTCGCGAC